GTGTCGAGGCTGGGCGCAAATGAAAGGTCTCGAGGAGTACCTAGACCTTTCATTTGTGCCCAGCCTCGACACCGCTTCATTTTTAGTTTCTGTTCTGTGGACGCTTCTATCTACAATTTCCATAAAATTGAGCGATAATTCTTCAGAAAATGCAAAAAATTCCTAAGTCTGAAATTGTTTTTGACTATAAGGTCCACAGATTCGGAAAGTACTCCTCGAGACCTTTCATTTGTGCCCAGCCTCGACACCGCTTCATTTTTAGTTTCTGTTCTGTGGACGCTTTTATCTGCAATTTCCATAAAATTGAGCGATAATTCTTCAGAAAATGCAAAAAATTCCTAATTCTGAAATTCTTTTTGACTATAAGGTCCACAGATTCGGAAAGTACTCCTCGAGACCTTTCATTTGTGCCCAGCCTCGACACCGCTTCATTTTTAGTTTCTGTTCTGTGGACGCTTTTATCTGCAATTTCCATAAAATCGAGCGATAATTCTTCAGAAAATGCAAAAAAATGCCTAAGTCTGAAATTCTTTTCGACTATAAGGTCCACAGATTCGGAAAGTACTCCTCGAGACCTTTCATTTGTGCCCAGCCTCGACACCGCTTCATTTTTAGTTTCTGTTCTGTGGACGCTTTTATCTGCAATTTCCATAAAATTGAGCGATAATTCTTCAGAAAATGCAAAAAATTCCTAATTCTGAAATTCTTTTTGACTATAAGGTCCACAGATTCGGAAAGTACTCCTCGAGACCTTTCATTTGTGCCCAGCCTCGACACCGCTTCATTTTTAGTTTCTGTTCTGTGGACGCTTCTATCTTCAATTTCCATAAAATTGAGCGATAATTCTTCAGAAAATGCAAAAAATTCCTAAGTCTGAAATTCTTTTTGACTATAAGGTCCACAGATTCGGAAAGTACTCCTCGAGACCTTTCATTTGTGCCCAGCCTCGACACCGCTTCATTTTTAGTTTCTGTTCTGTGGACGCTTTTATCTGCAATTTCCATAAAATTGAGCGATAATTCTTCAGAAAATGCAAAAAATGCCTAAGTCTGAAATTCTTTTCGACTATAAGGTCCACAGATTCGGAAAGTACTCCTCGAGACCTTTCATTTGTGCACAGCCTCGACACCGCTTCATTTTTAGTTTCTGTTCTGTGGACGCTTTTATCTGCAATTTCCATAAAATTGAGCGATAATTCTTCAGAAAATGCAAAAAATGCCTAAGTCTGAAATTCTTTTCGACTATAAGGTCCACAGATTCGGAAAGTACTCCTCGAGACCTTTCATTTGTGCCCAGCCTCGACACCGCTTCATTTTTAGTTTCTGTTCTGTGGACGCTTCTATCTTCAATTTCCATAAAATTGAGCGATAATTCTTCAGAAAATGCAAAAAATTCCTAAGTCTGAAATTCTTTTTGACTATAAGGTCCACAGATTCGGAAAGTACTCCTCGAGACCTTTCATTTGTGCCCAGCCTCGACACCGCTTCATTTTTAGTTTCTGTTCTGTGGACGCTTCTATCTTCAATTTCCATAAAATTGAGCGATAATTCTTCAGAAAATGCAAAAAATTCCTAAGTCTGAAATTCTTTTTGACTATAAGGTCCACAGATTCGGAAAGTACTCCTCGAGACCTTTCATTTGTGCCCAGCCTCGACACCGCTTCATTTTTAGTTTCTGTTCTGTGGACGCTTTTATCTGCAATTTCCATAAAATTGAGCGATAATTCTTCAGAAAATGCAAAAAATTCCTAATTCTGAAATTCTTTTTGACTATAAGGTCCACAGATTCGGAAAGTACTCCTCGAGACCTTTCATTTGTGCCCAGCCTCGACACCGCTTCATTTTTAGTTTCTGTTCTGTGGACGCTTTTATCTGCAATTTCCATAAAATCGAGCGATAATTCTTCAGAAAATGCAAAAAATGCCTAAGTCTGAAATTCTTTTCGACTATAAGGTCCACAGATTCGGAAAGTACTCCTCGAGACCTTTCATTTGTGCCCAGCCTCGACACCGCTTCATTTTTAGTTTCTGTTCTGTGGACGCTTTTATCTGCAATTTCCATAAAATTGAGCGATAATTCTTCAGAAAATGCAAAAAATTCCTAATTCTGAAATTCTTTTTGACTATAAGGTCCACAGATTCGGAAAGTACTCCTCGAGACCTTTCATTTGTGCCCAGCCTCGACACCGCTTCATTTTTAGTTTCTGTTCTGTGGACGCTTCTATCTTCAATTTCCATAAAATTTAGCGATAATTCTTCAGAAAATGCAAAAAATTCCTAAGTCTGAAATTCTTTTTGACTATAAGGTCCACAGATTCGGAAAGTACTCCTCGAGACCTTTCATTTGTGCCCAGCCTCGACACCGCTTCATTTTTAGTTTCTGTTCTGTGGACGCTTTTATCTGCAATTTCCATAAAATTGAGCGATAATTCTTCAGAAAATGCAAAAAATGCCTAAGTCTGAAATTCTTTTCGACTATAAGGTCCACAGATTCGGAAAGTACTCCTCGAGACCTTTCATTTGTGCCCAGCCTCGACACCGCTTCATTTTTAGTTTCTGTTCTGTGGACGCTTTTATCTGCAATTTCCATAAAATTGAGCGATAATTCTTCAGAAAATGCAAAAAATTCCTAATTCTGAAATTCTTTTTGACTATAAGGTCCACAGATTCGGAAAGTACTCCTCGAGACCTTTCATTTGTGCCCAGCCTCGACACCGCTTCATTTTTAGTTTCTGTTCTGTGGACGCTTCTATCTTCAATTTCCATAAAATTTAGCGATAATTCTTCAGAAAATGCAAAAAATGCCTAAGTCTGAAATTCTTTTTGACTATAAGGTCCACAGATTCGGAAAGTACTCCTCGAGACCTTTCATTTGTGCCCAGCCTCGACACCGCTTCATTTTTAGTTTCTGTTCTGTGGACGCTTTTATCTGCAATTTCCATAAAATTGAGCGATAATTCTTCAGAAAATGCAAAAAATGCCTAAGTCTGAAATTCTTTTCGACTATAAGGTCCACAGATTCGGAAAGTACTCCTCGAGACCTTTCATTTGTGCCCAGCCTCGACACCGCTTCATTTTTAGTTTCTGTTCTGTGGACGCTTCTATCTTCAATTTCCATAAAATTGAGCGATAATTCTTCAGAAAATGCAAAAAATTCCTAAGTCTGAAATTCTTTTTGACTATAAGGTCCACAGATTCGGAAAGTACTCCTCGAGACCTTTCATTTGTGCCCAGCCTCGACACCGCTTCATTTTTAGTTTCTGTTCTGTGGACGCTTCTATCTTCAATTTCCATAAAATTGAGCGATAATTCTTCAGAAAATGCAAAAAATTCCTAAGTCTGAAATTCTTTTTGACTATAAGGTCCACAGATTCGGAAAGTACTCCTCGAGACCTTTCATTTGTGCCCAGCCTCGACACCGCTTCATTTTTAAATATTTTATTCTCGGTTTAAATGTAGAGTTAAGGGTTTCAAAGTTTTTCAACGTAAATTTTAATTAGGTTTTTATTTAGCGATTTCATTTGAAATTTGAAATTTGTAGGGAAAATTATGAAATTTGATGAAAACTAATATAATTTAGTTTACCTTTAATTTTCTCTGGTTTACTACTCTCTCTCTTTTTCTCTCTCTCTCTCTCTCTTTATTAACCCTTTGTGAACCGGAGAAAAAATCACCTTGGTTTGTGTCTTTGCTAATTAAATTTAAATTTATCTTGACGGACATCCCGATGAGCCACTTTTCCAATCATGAGATTGTGTCTCCCTGTCTTACCTTTTCGTTGAAAATCTTAGATCATTAAGCTCGTCTCAAAAGTCAAAACAGTCAAATTATATGTTTGTAAATATGCATCTGGGATTGATTCTCTTGAATATTAAAAAGATATTTTTAATATCGGTATATACGTGGTATAATTTCCGTTGTGCTGGTCCAGACGATTTTGGCCTTTTTTAAGGTCATGGCCAAATTCCCTAAAACAAGTGGTTTTAATTTGAAGTCTAAATAGGTAGACCAATATATGGGTGTTATGAAGACCCTGTAATGTGCTAAAATGTAGAATTTTGCCTTGGCAATAATTTGAAAACATTCTGTATTTTTTTAAAGTTATTTCCATTGCTCAGTTAGCCCTGGTCTCAAATTAAAGTTTTCCAATAATTTAACAGAAGCTGCATTCAGATAATGCAAAATGCATTCGTATTCAAATTGTATTGGGAATTCTCTATTGCAGATTGCATCTCCATAAAATTGTATACCATTTAAAAATCCATTTTGAAAAAAGGTTTGAAAAACTGATCTCTTCCAATGCACACATGTCGTGTATGTTCATCCAAAAGTCTTGTCGGCTATTGCATTTTTTGAAATTTAAAAGAAAAAAAATCTTCCAACCCACCACTTTTTCCCATGAATTTGCTCTGCAATAAGTTTCCAGTGTAATAGCCTGGGCTCATCATCAGGGTAGGAACTAATTAAATAACAACGGTAAATATTTTGCCTAATTTTTTCCTCTTCAAACTCGTGGATCAATAGTCTCCATGGACTTGTTGTTGTTAAAAAGCTATTCAATCTGATTTAATTAAAAACAAAATAATCCTTGAAGCGCGTAGAAATTCCTGCCAATGCAAAATCGCCTGCCCAACACAACGAGCCAACCAACTAAAACCGTTGCAAACAATGGCAGGAAACAAATTTAAGCCGCAGATGGATGCTAATGAAGATGCCTGGAATGCATGTTGTAGTTGCTTGCAGTTGGTGCAGCTAAACATCCACGGGGCGTAGAGGAAAATTAGAGGTAGCTGCATAAAAGTGGAATTACTTGATGAGTTGTTACACGCCTTGATTGTTTTTTAGTTTATGCGCAAATTACAACGGCTAAATAGCCTTGTCCAGTAACGAAATTTCCCAAGATTTAAGGATTGGAATTGCAATTTCGTTTTTTTATAAATAGAACCCTTTTTTTTGTTTAAAATTAATGTCTAAAACCTAAAAAGTGTAACAAAATACTCACATAATGCGATGACATGACTCCGCATGGCCATGAGTGCATGTCATGGACTGTTCTTCCGATTCGGTGGAGTCATCACGTAGCGTGGCAACCCCTAATGGTAGAATAGGGATTATAGCAGCTGTGGCAGCTGCAGCCGTTGCCGGTGGGCCCGCCACCACCGCTGCTGATGGTGTAGGAGGCGGTGGTGGTCCAGTTATTGCCTGTGGCGATGGTGTCGTACTTAGCGGCTTCTGTAAGAAATCGAAAAAAAATTAAATGTAAAACAACACACACAAACACACAAAATAATTAAAATTCAATTAACCATATTTGATTAATTACAATACTTGAACAAAAAAAAAGAATCATTAAAAAAATTAAATGAGCTTTTGATCCTGACATGTTTTACAAATTCTAATTTACATAATTATAGGATACGCCACAAGGGGTATTTTTTCTGTACAGCCAAGGAGTGGGATGTGTTTAATTATTTGTTTTAAGGTGTAGTAGAAATTCCACTACCTTTTCTACACTTTCAGAAGCAGCAATATATTTTAAACAATATAAAGGCGGCAAGTAACCTAAATAGAGGGGGTAAGTTCCCCTTTTCAATATTTTTGGCAATTTTCAGATTAAGATTCACCTTAATCTGTGCGTTTTAATATAAAGGGTGAGATAAAAAACTGCAACAAAGCAAAAGCCATAATTTTTACATTTTTTTTTTAAATTTTACTGAATGAAAGCAAAAAATGTCGGGAATAGCATCAAATTTTAGAATAAGTTTAGATTTTTTGAATTGGTCACCTATGGAACGAATTATGGTCTTCAAACGGCCAATTAAACCGTCACACGCTGCCAGAATGTTGCTCTTCGGCATTTTGGCTCATTCCTGGCGAAGCGCTTGCATGAGGTGATCGACACTTTAGTATTTTTAAGTGCCAACCAAGCTTTCCAAAATACTCCAGGCACAATAGTCCAACGGATTGGTATCCGGAGATTTTGGTGCATATTGTGCGCTTGAAATGAAGCGGGGAACCTCATTTTGTAACCATTCTTGGGTGGCGCGTGCTGAGTGCGATGGTGTTGAGTTCTGTTGGAATGTCCAAGGTCTGCGGCCAAAATGTTTGCGTGCCCAATGCTTTAATACACCCTCCAGAATATTTTCGCGATAATATTCGGCATTTATTCTCATGCCACGGTCAATTAATACGATCGGAAAGCGACCATCGGCTGTTATGGCGGCCAACTCCATCGCTATAGGCGACGCTTGAGTTCTGGTGGCTAACCGAAGGTACACATCTTCAGCTGACCTCATTGGAAAGTAAACGCGATAATTTTGTTTGTTTACAAACTGCTGGGCAACGAATGTTTTCTTTCACTTTCGGCCAAGCGAATCAACTCTTTAGCTCTTTTGAGTCTATTTTCTTTCTGTTGAGGTGTAAGTTCTTGCACTGTTTGGAATTTCAATGGCTTTATCACGAGCTCATTTTTCAATATTTGCCCAATGGAATATTATGATATGTTCAGCTCACGAGCCATTTTTCGGCCACTGCGACGCGGGCTTCGATCAAGCCGCTCCTTACTTTTCGATCCATTTCTGCTGATGTTGCTGTTTTCTTCCCTCCACTTCCTTGACGTCGGGCTACGCTACCAATATCATAACGAGCAATGGCACGAGACACAAAAGATTTATTCACATTTTAATGCTGGAGTTCTCTAACGATGGCTACTTGTGGTTTTCCTGCTAAATATAAAGCAATCACATTATCACGCTTGAACTCCATCACGAATAACTTTTTTTTCTGGAAAACTCTCACCAAAATTCTTTTGTACGCTTGTAAACAATGTAATGAGCTGTCACTGGAACAATTTTAACAGCTGTCGGACGAGTGACATCTCACCCTGTATATATATATTTTTTTTTTGATCAGAAGAAAATTCTATATCTATTTAGCGATGTTCGTCTGTGGAAATCACTCTAGCGTCTGAACGATTTGAAGTAGGTTGATACAATTTTACTCAGATGTGTGTTTGTCTGCAGGACTTTGGTATTGAAAATGAGCTATATAGGTCAACGTTTAGGTATAGCCCCCATATAACAGTACCTCCCAATATTCGGTATTTTGATGATTTTAGCGACATTATTCACTGGAATTGATTCAAATTTCGTATTTGCAGTTCGCAACGGGTACAGCCTAAAACAGAAAATTGCCTATGGCCCAGGTCTTCGTATAGCCCCCATATATCAGCACCTCCATACATTCGGTATTTCGATGTTTTTGCAACATTATTCACCGGATTTCTTCAAGTTTCCTATTTTAACATTGTAATGGACAATGAAAAAACTTGCCAGTACAGGTTCACGTATTCGTATAGAACCCAATATTATGGTAACTCCCTATATTCGATATTTTTCTGATTTTTAACAGTATTTTTTTTAATATCCAGTTTCGTTGCAATTTGTGGAGGGTATTCAAAGTTTCGACCCGGCCAAACATACTGTTTTATTTTTACTCTTCACACTTCATTTAATTCAGCTAAAAACATTGATATGGGCCAAATTACAAGAAAATGGAACATTTATATCGAATTTTATGCGAAATCATAAATCCTATATTCATATTAGGTTTCTGGAATCGCTGCCTTGTTTCGCAAGATATGACAGATAAAATTATTGAAAATTGTGACCCTTTGTGTTTGAGGTACCAGAAGGGGTTAGCCGATGTATATCATATTCACAACAGATCTTGTGTTAGCAAAAATTTTGTGTGTGTGTGTGAAATTTGAAGAGGGTTGGATGTTTATTTCGCTTTCTTTGAGCGTTTTGTTTTCTTAAAATGAAATGGTCCGATCTCTATCATCTTTATAATAAATCTTGTGTTGATGGAAATATTGAAATGTACCAAGTCTGAATGGAATCGGACGTTAAATTCGTGTTTTATCAGCTTCGTGGATATTTAAAATTTTGACCCTTTGTGGCGGAAGACCCAGAAGGAGTGGACCGCTACATCCCTTCTTAAGAGCAGATCTTGTGTTAGAAGAAATAATGAGATGTGTGATATAAATAGAAGGAACCGGATGCTTACTTCGGATTTTATAAACGTTTTCATTATTCAAAACTTTGGCCCTTTGTGGAGGAATACCAGAAGGAATAGTCCGATGGCTAACATCTTTATAACAGATCTAGTGTTGATATGAATATTGAGATGTATCAAGCCTGAATGGAATCGGATGTTAATTTCGCGTATTAAGAGCTTCATAGATATTCAAAATTTTGACCTTTTGCGGGGTAAGTACCAGAAGGAGTGGGCCGATATATTCCATCTTCACACCAGGCCTTGGGTTAATAAAAATATTATGGTGTGTGTAATTTGAAGGCAATAGGACTTCTACATAGGTGATAAAAATATTCAACATTTTGAACGTTTGTGGAGGACGTAATCTATGAAGTAGGCCGATATTGTCTCTGCAGTAAAAGATATATATTTATTTTTTTGAAAATTTCGTCGTTTTGTGGGGGAGGTGTCAAAAGGAGTGGACCGATATTGCCCACCTCCGAGCTCGATCTAAGTGTGTTATAATTATACTACGATGTACCAAGTATGGACCAAATCGAATATTCCCTTCGAGTTATCGTGCACACCAGCCAGCCAGACATACAGACTGACGGACGGACGAACGGACAGCTCTAGATCGACTCCAAATTTCCTGAAACAGATTTGATCCAAGGAGACCTAGTATATGAAATCGTTATTTCTATGAGGCACGTTTTGGCCGTTTGGGTGTAAAAAGGAAGATCTCGTCTTAAGACTAGATGCTTAGAAATTTGAGAAGTGTTAAGTTTTGTCTCATATGCATATTGCGATGGGCGAAGTTTCAGTGAAGTCTAATACCTCCTTGGAATTCTAAGAGGCTTTTGCATTGAAAATTTTGCCTAAGTGGGAGAGTAGCCAGAAAAAGAGGACCCACAGTTTCACAGCAGATCTAGAATTGATTAAACTAGTAACATCATAGAATAATTTCTTATATTATGACGGCTACGTTTTATCATAATTTTAAAGCCCTAAGGGGGTAGGGGGTGGTGTCACCAGAGGAGTGGCTATAGTACCTAACAAAAATCTGATATAAAAATTACGATGTGCATAGTTTCAACCAAAACGTGTGTCCTTTGATTTCTACTAAATATTTTTTTAGGTTTGTCCGTTTATCGGCCCATTCCTTCTAGTACCTCCCTCATACCAGAAGGTGTGGGGCGATATATCTCATCTTCACAATAGGTTTTGTATTGATACAAAATTTGGAAAGTACAAACATTGAAGAAAATGCGTCCAATGTTTTAGCATTAGCCATTCACCCCACACCAATGGAGCAGAAATTCTTCTCGTAGATTAATTTAGTCTTTACAGACTAAGCTTCAGCGCATTTCGAGACGGGTTTTAGTGCTTATAAATGAAAGAAGTGCTTTCGTATGAATTTGCATAGAATCTGGAGCCTTATGCACAATTTTTTCTGAGGAACATTTTATGAACCATTTTTAAAAATTCTTCGAGACTTCAGTTTTGCTTGTCATTGCTGAAGCCAAATACTAAATTTTAAAATTGTAGAATTCATTTGGGTCACAGGTGTACTATTTTGTACTTTTAAGTGCGATTTTTCTAACAAAAAATATAACTTTTTTTTACCAATTTAAATTATTTAACCTTTTTTCTTAATTTCAACTCACTTTATAGTCGTGTGTATCGGCTGTCGATAGTTGTCGCTTCCTTTCGTAGAGATATTCACGTTCTATGGAACGACTGCGAAACGCTGGTGGCAGACCACGTTCTGGTGGTGTTGGTATGATCGGTGTCGGTGCACTGCTGCTGCCGCCGATGAGATGTTGCTTTTCTGGATCTTCTTCGTCTTGCTGTTGCTGCTGCTGCTGTTGTTGTTGTTGTTGTTGCTGCTGCTGTTGTTGAGCTAAAGTCGAGGTGGTGGGAGGACTTTCACCGCTTTGCTGTTGTTGCTGCTGCTGCTGTTGATGTTGTTGTTCACGCAACTGCTGATGCTGTTGATGTAAAATCTTTTGCTCTTCTTTTTTCTTTTCGCGTTCCTGCTGCCGTCGTATCTCAAAATCCAATAGACGGGCTTCTCGGGCGTCTTTGTCTCTCTGCAATGAAATTGGATAGTAATTTTTTATTAGCTTTTTTAGTTAATATGTGTTATCTTTAATTGTTAATACCTTATAATTTATCGCGTCCTGTTCTTCTTTTTTAGCTTCCCTTTCGCTGCGTTGCCGATCGCGCTGTTTCTCTTCGTCCGTTTGCGATGTCTTGCTGTCTGCAAAAACGTAAGTAGAGATTAGTTTCTTTTATGGCAGTGGTATTTCTTAAATTAATTTAGAATTTATGAAAAAAAATTTAAGAAAAAGGCATTACAGAGAAATAAAATTCCAATTTTGTTGTTAAAAAAAAAACATATTCATGTCATGCTAATAACTTGTTTTTGTATTTAGCATTCATTTAGAAAAAAGAGAACTATATTTTAATGCATATTTTATGTTTTTAAACTAAAAAGCTTAAGAAGTTGATATTCTTGACATACGTCCGAAAAAAAGAAATCCCTTCCGATTCCTATGAGCATTGAACAACTGTCGATAAATCGCTATCTTGGAATAAAAATTCATTACAAATCTTCACTCGTAAAAGACATTCTTTGGCAAAAAAAAAAAAAAAAATAATAATCAGTCGGTTTTGCTGGCAGATATACCCCCTCAGCCAATTTTGACTGCTGTTATGATTATTCAAACGATTGACCCTCCATTGAGTAGGTTCCGAAGGAATGGGCCAATATTGCCCACTTCACATTGGGGCCAAATAAATATGATATAAATATTGCGACGTACCAGGCTTGGACTATATCCTTCACTTTATGTGAGATATGTGATAATTTGTAGAAAATGTTAAAATGTGCGTGAGGTACCAGATATAGTCGACCGGAGTGTTCCATTTTCATACTTCATCTAATACAGATAAAAATATTGGTATGGGTAAAATTACAACAAAATCAAAAATATGGTTATTAAAAATGTTTACCCTGGGGGAAACACCAGAAGGACCAAATCCGTTTCAGGACATTTGGAGTCGATCTAGCAATGTCCGTCCGTCCGTTTGTCTGGTTGCCTGGTGCACACGATAACTCTCGAAGGGAATATCCGCTTTGGTCCAAATTTGGTACGTAATATTTTTGTCAAACTTAGATCGAGTTCGGAGATGGGCAATATCGGTTCACTCCTTCTGGTACCTCCCCCACAAAAGGTGGAAATTTTTAAAAATATGTATTTTTTGCACAGAAAGAGAAACGGTAACCCAATTTTGCTCCAACTTTGCAAATCCTAATATTTGCGTCAGTGCTAAGTTAGGTGCGAAAATGGGCAATATCGGCCCACTCCATCAAGTACCTCCACCACAAAAGGGTCAAATTTTTGAATAATTATAACTCTTAAAAAATGTGATGCAAGAGTCCGATTGTCGTCAAATTTAACACATCACAATAATTTTATTAAACCAAGGTCTGGTGTCAAGATGGAATACATCGCTCCACTCCTTCTGGTACCTCCAAAAGGTCGAAATTTTCAAAAAAAATATTTTTTCTGCACAGGAAGAGAAATTATAATCCGATTTTGCTCTAATTTTGTAAATCCTCATATTTGCGTCAGTTCTAGGACAGGTGCAAAAATTGATAAAATCGGTTCACTCCTTCAAGTACCTCCCCCACAAAGGGTCAAAATCTTGAATAATTACAAGTCGTATAAAAGGTGATGTAAGAGGCCGATTGTCTTCAAATTTCACACTTCCCAATAATTTTATTAACCTAAGGTCTGGTGTGATGATGGACAATATCAATCCACTACTTCTGGTACCTCCCTCACAAATGTTAGAAATTTTCAAAATAAAAAAAAAAATGCAGAGCAAGAGAAACGATAATCCGATTTTGCTCCAAGTTTGCAAATCCTAATATTTGCGTCAGTGCTAGGTCAGATGCGAAAATGGGCAACATCGGTCCACTCCATCAAGTACCTCCCCCACAAAGGGTCAAACTTTTGAATAATTACAACTCTTTAAAATGTGATGTAAGAATTCGATTTTCTTAAAAGTTCACACATCCCAATATTTGTATAAACTCAAATTCTGGTGTTAAGATGGTCCACTCCTTCTGGTACCTCCCCCATAAAAGTTCGAAATTTTGAATATCCATTAAGCTCATAAAACGTGAAATTAACATTCGATTCCATTTACACTTTGCAAATCAGAATATTTATAACAACACAGGATCCTTTATAAAAAATTTAGAAATCGGACCATTCCATCAAGTATCTCCCCCACAAAGGATTAATGTTTTAAATAACCAAAACGTTTATAAAATTCCAAATAATCATCGGGTTCTTTATATTTCACATATCCCATTACTTCCACTAACAAAAGATCTGCTGTGAAGATGGGATATATCGGTCCGCCCCTTCCGGTACCCTCCCCACAAACTCTCACCATTTTGAATATCCATGAAGCTCATAAAAAGTGAAATCAACTTCCGATTCCATTTCAGACTTGGTACATTTCAATTTTACATCAACACAAGACCTGTTATAGAGATGCGAGAGATCGGACCATTTTTTTTACTACCTGTTCCACACAGGGTTCAAGATATTGAAAAACAAAATTATCAAAGAAAGCGAAAAAAGCATCCAACTCTCTTCAAATTTTACACATACAAACATTTTTGCTAACACAAGATCTGTTGTGAAGATGCTATATACCTGCGTACCACTACTGGTATCTCACCCACAGAGGGACACAATATGCAATACTTTTATCTGTCATAAATTGCGAAACAACTAAGCGATTCTTTACTACTTGCTATATCTAAATATATTTCTCAACCAGAATCCTGAGATGAATATGGAATTTGAGATTTCCCATAAATTGGATATAAATGTTCGATTTTCTTATATATTTATAATAATATTTAAATCATATTTATTTAGATCCGATATGAAATGGACAATATTGGCCCATTCTTTCAAATAGGTCAATAAAGGGTCAAGAGTTTGAAAATTCATAATAGAGTTCGAAATATTTTTAAATAATCGAACATTGGCGGAGGTTATAAATATGTCGGCAAAACCGACCGATACTTTTTTTGAGAATTTCGTTCTTTTGTGGAAGGTACCAGACGGAGTGGACCAATATTGTCCATCTCCGAACTCGATCTAAGTTTGACAGAAATTTTACGATGCAATCGGATACTCCCTTCAAGAGTTATCGTCCACACCAACCAACAAGACAAATGGACGTACGGACGGACACTGCTTGATCGACTCCTGAAACATATTTGGTCCAAAAAATACCTAGGGGTTAAAACCGGCACGTTTTGGCCGTATCAAATGATATATACCCTCTGTATATACCCTGTGTAAAAACACTGCACTGAAAAAACTTAGTAGATTATGAAATTAAAAAGGAAACCTGTATCGGAGTTTTGGATTTTTGCTTCGTAAATTAGCCTAAATAAAGTGGTCAACTTCACTTAGGTACATTTAAGGGCCGTAAATAGTTTTTACCATATTCATAGGGACCCCTATAGTTGGAGATATATTTCCCAATATTTAGGAAAGAGCTTTGAAATCAATTGTTTGTTTTGGTATAAAATGGAAATAGAGATTTCTTTGCTGAATTGTAGTTTGTGTAATACTTGATATTTGAAGGAATATATAGACTACCTCTAGGTTATGAAGTTTTCCGAATAATTTTTTAAGGGATATCGGAAATCAGATGTTTGGCGAAAATAGAAAAAGGGTCAGATTTGGATATCGAAATAGGGTCAGATTTGGATATAGGTTATATATCATTATCCGATTTGAAGTTTATTGTGCACTAAATGCTTATTATCAGCTCGAATTATGTAGATTTCGACACTTCCCAATTTTAGCCTGGGATAGAGTGTGTCAATTTGGCAAAAGTCGGTTCAGATATAACTATAGGTCCTATAAACATTATTTTCCAATTGTGTATTTAAGTTTCTCATACCCGTAAAATTCATTATAAAAAATGGTATTTGGTGCCAGCAGAGCCAGAATACAAATACCTCTGCTAAACTTAATAGAGAACGGTTCAGATTTTGATATAGGTCCCATATATATCTTCATCCGATTTCACGTTTATTGTATTTCAGAAGTATAATATCAGCAGGATATATTTTGGGGAAAATCGTTTCATGTATAATTGTAGATCCGAGGTTTCAGTCTAAGGTCAAATGCCTCCGTCAAATTTAGTGGAATTCGATGCAATTTGGGATGTTCTACACAGTGGTGTAGGGTATCAAAAAGTCAGCCCGTTCGACTTTTGACTTTTCTTTACTAATGTTGAAATTGTTTTTTTTGTTTTTTTTTCATTTTTTAATTCAAGAATAATTTGAATATTCTTATATCCAAATAAAATATCTCCACTGGAGTCCCCATTCTGTTACGTTCAAATTGCCATCATTACGCACAATACTGCATGTCAAATGCATTTGATTGAGTTTAGCACAATTTACTCATTACTGTCATTGCGGTATGCAGAGAGAGTGTGTGTACAGGCGTAGTTCCCCCTGTCTGTGGGGTTTGTCTGTCTGCCACTCTGCCCATATCAAAAGGCATTCACCAGTGTGACCTTCTAATTAATCGCTTTTTACAAATGTAGAACACTAATTCTCTTTTATGTCGAACATTAAGTCTAATGCGATAATCCTTTAATTCCCTTAGGAAAAAATCTACGGTGTTGTTGCTCCATACTGTTTTATGGTCAAAAAGGCATCTGCATATCTGATACCCTATAACGAATTCTCTATATATTTTGTCTCACATATTGTTGGGTAAAATTAAAATTTTTTACTTTTTTTGAGAATCGATACGGAAACTTATGGATTTTAATAAAAGCATGCTCATTTTCATCGTGTGCTAGTGGACCGGCATAACACTAACTATTAATAATTAAATTGCATCGATATATTCAACCACACAAAATCCATAATAAATGCCTCTAATTATCTTAATACAAAATACCGTACGATATTGGGATATGGAAACATTTTACCTTATGGCAAATACCCAACAAAGGCTTTTATCCCCAACAGAAGTTTTCCGCCATAAAACATTGTGGGTTAAAAGTTTCTTTGCAAAAGTGTAGATGAATTTTAAATAGTAGAGCAAGCATGTAATGCTCCCATGGGGTTGTATATTTGAGTATCATATTTTAAAAAAAGAGAGTATTCAGCTCTATATCTAGTAATTTGTGGTCCTA